TGTTTGCCCCCCCCCCCCCCCCCAGCAGACCAGGGAGACGCGGAGCAGCTTTACTCGCCCCGGATCTGCGTAACTCGGGGACTGCCTGTAACTCTTTGAAAGGGTAAAGAAATCTATACACAAATTGTTACTTTAGGAACTTTTGGTGCCATTCACAAGAATGCAAAGGTGCACAAGTCCTGTTTTTAGGCACCACTGCAGTCCACAAAACTGTTCAACAATTGGCTAAAATCATATAGTGGGTAAATTTTTCTTCAGGGCACAACTGCATCCTCACTTTAGCTACTTATGCAATACTGCCTCACACAAGGGCTATGTCTACAGTACACTGTGCACCTTACAATCTAAAAGGCATCCGTCCATCCCTCCCCATTTATTGAGAGAGAAGCTTAAGCACTAGAGATGTAAAATCCCATTTAATTAGTTAAAAGTTAAGTTTAACCGGTTAAACAGGTGAGTGGGGAGTCCTCACACCACAGCTTGGCTAGAGCAGCCCACTGCTGCGGGAAGGGGTTGCTCCAGCCCTGCTGCTTCCAGCCTCGTACAGGACTACCAGCTCCCAGCCCACATGAGGTTGGTGGAGCTGCTGCCACTTCTGCCCCCCCCCCCAAAAAAAGCCACGGCCACTGAGCATGTATGGGCTGGGAACAAGCAGCCCCCATGCGGTGGGGCCAACAGAGCTTGAGCAGACCTCTGTCTGCAGTAGGCCACTCCCTGGGTACCAGTTAATAGTTACCCAGTAAGCATCACCCGCTAAGGGTAATGCTAACCAGTTAGCTGTTAACATCCCTCCTATTAAGCACTTAACCCTGGCTTTGTAGAGTGCACTGGTGTTCCTGTGACTGGGCAGTTCAACATTGAGAGTCATGGCACTAAAATCCCTTTGTGTATAATTAACATCAATGTATTGTTGATGACCTTTGACATCATGATCATGCACAACTCTGAAGAGAAACCTATCTCCCTATTTGCCAAATTCTGTAACAGTGTTTATTAGTAAGGTCTGTTATAGGGTTATAATAGTACAACTGATTAACCAATAAGCTTTTATTTGTTGATTAATGCTATAGACTACACGCAATCCCCCCTGCCAGTAAATATTTTTGCAGGTCGGACCCAGGACCCACCGCTGTGGTGGCTCTGTATTTTAGGTGTGTTAGGAGTCGAGCGGTCAGGCAGCCTAGCTCAGTCCTGGCTTGCACTGGGTCTGGGACCTATCCCCACTGCAGCTCTATATTTAAAGTGTAGTACGAGGCTCAGTTCCAGCTCACACCAGGTTCAGGAGCTCAGATTGCCCCACCCCAAGACGGCCACCGCATGCAGGTGGTTTTTCAACTGGCTCCCCTCACTGACCAGCTCCCACCTGGCTCCCCATGCTGATACAGAGGAAGCCGTGTGGAGTGGCAGGAGGCTCCTCGGGAGTAGGGTCAGAGTGCATTGGCTGCTGGCCCCACTATCAGGGAGCATAGAATATCAGTTACTTGACTATTCAGTTACCCAATATTTAACATCCCTAGTTTGTTAGTTTTCCCCTCTATGTTCTTCATTAATAGTTGATATCAAAGACTTTCAGATTACTTTGGATATTAATACTTAAAACAGTGGTATTACTTGGAAAAAATCCATAGTACTCCAGCGTGCTGATAAGTAGATCAATCATATAGGCTCCAACTTGCTACCTTAACAGTAGCACATGAATAGTCCCATTGACTACAATGGGATTACTAAATATGTAAAATTGAGCATATATCTAGCATTGCAAGATCAGAGCTTTAACCAGCGTTTTTTTCCTCATCTCCAGGATGGTAGTCAATGGAGATATTTACTGTTACTTTTTATTTTGTCTTAAAAGCTTTTTTCCCCTAGGACAGAGAGAGGAAAGCAATCGCTCATCATTTAACTTCTGCAGCTTATCCTACTCTTGGAAACATAGAAAGGTCCCTACAGTCAGTGCTAAGTCTACTGTAAGCCTTAAGATGTTTTAAAATAACCTACTATAGAAAGAGCTGGAAATACATTGTTTTATAATATTTAGAACTATGATACTGTGTTTTAGTGTGTAATGGCTCTCAGATTCCCTGAAACAGAAACAAGATTTCTAAGGGTATGTCTACATTGCAGCATTTTTCCAGAAAAACAGCCATTTTTCCAGAAAGTTGAAAAGTTTCGACAGAAAGTTGAAAAACGGAAGAGTTTTTCAAATAGCAATATACCTCTTTCTACAAGGAAGCAGCCTTTTTCCGAAAGAGGCACGTGTGGACACAGAAGAGGGAATTCTTTCGAAAAAAAGAGGCGTCCAGGAAATACCACAGGTGCCCTGGTGGCCACTCCATCCATACTAATCACAACTTAAATGCGAGATACAGCATCCAATCAGTGTGGACGCTCTTTCGAAAAAGTTCAAAAAAAGCTTGTCCGGAAGATTTCTTCTGGAAAAGCTTCTTCCAAAAGAAGCTCACAGTCTAGACATAGCCTAGCTGTACATATAGGTCATCAAAAGATCCATCAGAAGACATTTCTATGTGAAAATACCTGTTATGCACAAGTTAAGTTGAGAAGTAGGTTTACACCATTGTTTAACAGAAATTCAAACACTGAAATTGACATTGAAAAAATGCTTCATGCCAACAGTTTTCATGTTTAAATTTATTAACTAGTTAAGCAAAACATTGCACTAACTTTCACATTTATTAGAAGAAAAGTCTGTTTGACATATCAATATTGCATATTTATGGGCATCTCATTAGAGTTTGCCTATAATTCTATATATTAATACAAACTTGCAGTAACTTGAAAAGTGATTCAACTTGGGCATTTCATTCCAATCTCCTTTCTTTCAATTTTATAAATATTAAAAACCAGGAAGTTATATCACCAACCCATTGATGTGAATTCAGTGGAATAGCCTAATAACTTACTGGTCAAATTAATCTATTAATGTTAAAGTATAGTAAGTCTGTTGCATTGGGTGTCTGAATAAAATACTGTAGTCAGCCTTTTAATAGTTCAGAATCCTACCTCCATAGGCCAAACAGCACATGAAACATGTCACTGACCATACACCACAAAATCCTTTCCTATTTTTGTACCAGGACAGTGACCCCCCATCCTAGCAGAAATCCTGACCTCTCCACAAATACCTTATTTGATTGAGCAGCATCCCTCACTCCCCCTGGCGTTCCCACAATTTCTCTAGCTCCAGTTCTGGAGAGATCAGCAGATAAAACTCCTTCACTACCTTCAGTCTCTAGCATAGAGCCAACAGGCATATTCAGCTGCTGTTTCCTGGCCTTCAGCTCTCTCACCTAGTTCTCAGAGATACTATCCAGAAAATCTTCTTACTGCGCTCTTGTCCTCTCCCAGAAAAATGTTTTATCTCCTTCTGAGAAGATACTGATGACTTGCAACTCTCCTACTCCCACCTTCCCTTAAGAAAGCCACTCCATTTTGGATCCTTTTCCCTCAGTGGGTCTCATTCTGTTATAATTCTCAGAGGATGCTACAGTCCACCCTCTTAATTGTGTAAATTGGGAGCACCTGATCTAGTGGAACACGCTGGGATGAACTGCCCTGTTTCCTTAGTGGAACCTGCTGCCCTGTAACACTGCTTTATGCTGTAGTAATATTGCTCCTTAATATTCTATTTAACATATTTAAAAATACTCTAATTTAAGAGAATAATTCCCAATAGAGGGAAAGAAGAAAATGGGGGAGGTGAACACATAGCAGATTTATATCTCATCTGTAAGGTTTTTTTCCCAGTGTCTTTGCCTTTCATTCTACCTGTATAGCCACCCAATTCAAAAGAACACTAGATTGTACAGTTGTCAAATCCTCAATATTTTAGGTTGTTTTTTTTTTTCAAAAAGATAATTCAGTAGCTTTCCACTGAGCTTAAATAAATTCAGTTCAAAATTCTTCTCACTACATGCACATGAACCTCATAATTTGAAGTTTGCAAACACCTATGACAAAAATAAATACATCTTCTTGTTTTAAATTGAAAACTCAAGAGTTTAATGCAACATGCTAACCAATGCTCAATGCTACAGCAGAGTAGGACTGTACAAAAAGGGAAGCAAAAGAGAACATTCAAAATTTTTACAGATTAGAGGGGAAATAACTATAAATTTGAGGCATATGTGATGGGAAATCTCCTAGAATATACTTATAATTCTTTGTAAATAAGAAGAACATTTATCTACCTTTTACCCTCCATATGCCTCATATCTATCAATGCCTATTTAGTTAGGTGACAGGCACTCACTCAACAACCAGTGATAGATCCCAAACAGTTCTGATAGGAAATCAGCCATTGGCTTCTTATCACTATAAGACAATGTTTCTCAAAGTGATCCACACAATCACTTTGAGAAACCTGCTAACTGGCCACACCTGTGTGTTTATTTACTGGAATCAAGGCTACAGAGCTTTGCAGCTGCTGGTTTGCCATTTCCTGCCAAGGGGAACCATGGGAAGTAACCAAAGCCAATAGGAGCCACGAGGCTCTGTGACCATGGTAAGTAAACACAGCAGCCCAGCCATTTCAAGGCGGTTTTGCAGACCACTTTGAGTAACATTGCTATATAAGTCTGTGGCTGCGTCTAGACTGGCAAGTTTTTCCGCAAAAGCGCTTGCTAGCTGTCTACACTGGCCGCTTGATTTTGCCCAAAAGCACTGACTGTCCGAAATCAGTGCTTCTTGCACAAATGCTTTGACGTTCCCGTTTGGGCAAAAGCCCTTTTCTGGAAATGTTTTTGTGCAAGAGGGCCAGTGTAGCAGCTAAAAACTGTTTTGCGCAAAAAAGCCCTGATGGTGAAAATGGCGATCGGGGCTTTCTTGCGCAAAACCGCGTCTAGATTGGCACGGACGCTTTTCCACAAAAAGTGCTTTTGCGGAAAAGCATCCGTGCCAATCTAGATGCTCTTTTCTGCAAATGCTTTTAACGGAAAAACTTTTCCGTTAAAAGCATTTGCGGAAAATCATGCCAGTCTAGATGTAGCCTGTGGCTTTATGAGTGGGAAGATTTTTTTTTAAGATAAAGTATTTTTAATTTTATCAGGTGTTCAAATACTAGGGTGGCAATACTTTAAAAGAAAACAAAAGTGGGCATAATAATAATTGCCCTGTGAGGTTAGTGTGTATTTATTTCAATTATTGAATGTATAAAATATCATGACATCCAGGTGCATGGCATGCAAAAGACAAGCAATATTAAATTAAACTCCCCATGATCAAAGTACAGAAATTGCACATCATAAAAACTTCTGAAGCAATGATCTATACTCAACCAAATTAGAGATGTTAAAATATGTTTATTTTGGTAAACATATATCCACTTAATTTTTCAGCAGGTACTTGTATGGGGAGAGGGAGATTGCTCTGCCAGAGCAGATGTAATGACCTCCATGGAGCTGCCTCCCATCCTCTTCCCCTGAGTTGTTGCCTCTCTGAGATAGCGGGTGGGGGGGACAACAGGCAGGAGCCAGTGCTAGCAGGCAGGAGCTTAAAAGCTGGCTCCCCATGTGCACCAGCCCCTATGGAGCTACTTGCTCCTCTTCCCTGCACTGCTGCTAGAGGCTCATACGTTAACCATTTATGTTTACATCCCTAAGGCAAATGCAGTTTAACAAAAGTTAAATCTTGTATATGCTCCCAGAGATGTGACAGAATACATTTATACATCAAAACATTTCTAAGAATGATACCTGAGTCAGAAGGTTATGGGTTCAAATCTTTCATGTAGACTGTATTCAGTATTTTATGCTGTATTGTAACTACTTTGCTGCAATCTAGGGATCATAATACATTGTAAGATAGTTAAAATGATCTTTTTTTCTGACCATCACAGACAGCTGTCCATTAAAGATCTCATATCACACTTCTGAAAAGTGTAATAGATAAATCCCTAATCCCGGTCAGTATTCTATCTCAAACTTTTTGCTTAGTTTGTGCGGGTGCTGTTTGCCTCAGTGCACTGTAGTACCCAAATCATGGGTTAGTACTTTTGGAGATCCTGGTGAGAAAACTATCATATAATTATATTTTTCTAGACTGACCTGAGATGTTTGTACCCCTCCCCCCTCCAAAGAATCCATTAGATTCCCTACCAATTTTTTTCCACTCTAAAAGATGTATAGGATCATATTCCTGAATTGTTTAGACTAAGTTATTGGAGCAATTGAGAGCCTCCCACTTTGCTCCTGGCAGCTTTTCAGTACAGGAACAAAGGAATGACCAGGTCTCCAACTTGAATCTTTGGTATTATAGAGCATTATTCTACTCCTAGAGCAGTAGAGATAATGTCTTCTATATTTTGTATGGGGATTTGAAAGTGGACTAGCAAAACATTTTAACAAATCAATCAACTTGTGACAGTAACTAAACAGTAAATGTTAATAGCCACATTCAAATTATTAAATATTTTACTTGAAAATCAAGTAGTCCATAGAAGTCTTGTATTTCTTAGTCCTCTTAGCAATGTGACAAAATCTTAAGCACGGTTCCCTCCAGGGGTTAATTAATACAAATTAATCTTTTTATATTTCTTATTGTCCATAGGAAGTGTATTTTGTAAAAATGATTTGAAACCTTTATGACAAACAATACCTGCTGAATATTTATAAAATGAAATTATGTAATATACTGTCACAGGTGGATTATAATAAATACATTGCTGAAGAGATACTCTGTACTGGTATAGATACTGTATTTGCTTATCTGTCATGACAGATGATATTCAGATCATGAGATACTGTATACACAGACACAACCATGTGAACGCATAGCACTAGGAAGACTGCCAACTACTTCCCATTTATTAAGCTCAGGATCATACTTCTCAATACTCTGCAGATATGTTCCTTTTGAATAGGAATATCCTCCTGTTACATAGATGCATCCATTCATGACAACTGCACCACATTCCATCCTTCTTTCCATTGTATGTGCCATCTCCTTCCATTCATTTTGTTCTGGATCATAGCAGTCGGTGATTGCAGTCTGTCCACCCACAATATAGAGCTTGTTTTGTAAGGCAATGGAACACAATCCATATTCTTCAGAAAGAAAAGGAAAATAGTTTAATTTAGAATAATAAATCTTAAACAAGCAGTACTAGTTAGTTGGTGAAACTGCAGCTACATGATAGATACCGAGTGTCACAGTTTCAGAGTAACTGCATCGGTATTCCCCCCTCTATGATCCCTCAAAGGCATCCAACAGGCCTGTTCATGGGTGGAGGAGAGGCCAAAGGGAATAGTTACCCCGGGGCATGGCTACTGTGGCAGCTGGAGCCCTGGGCACTTTAAATCCACACCAAAGCACTGTGCAGCCTCTCTGGGCAGCTCTAAGGGATGGGTGGGGAGACTGTACTCCAGGCAGTGCTAAGTACTGTGAAAGGGGTAGTGTGGTTTGTAACTTACTTTTAAATCATCTTCTGTACCTAATGACTGGAAGATAGCTAATGTGATGCCAATTTTTAAAAAAGGCTCTAGAGGTGATCCTAGCAATTACAGGACAGTAAGTCTAATCTCAGTACAGGGAAAAGTGGTTGAAACTATAGTTAAGAATAGAATTGTTAGACACACGGATGAACATAATTTGTTGGGGAAAAGTCAGCATGGTTTCTCCAAAGAAAATCATGCCTCACCAATTTACTAGAATTCTTTGAGGGGATCAACAAGCACATGGACAAAGAGGATCCAGTGGATACAGTGCACTTAAATTTCCAGAAATCCAAAAACTAGGTGACTGGGCAACAAAGTGGCAAATTAATTTTAATTTTGATAAATGCAAAATAAATCCCCACTATACATATAAAATGATGAGGATAAAATTAGCTGTTACAGCTAAAGAGAGAGATCTTGGAATCATTGTGGATAGTTCTCTGAAAACATCCACTCAACATGCAGCAGCAGTCAAAAAAGCAAAAAGAGAAAGAGAATAAGACAGAGCATATCTTAATGCCTCAGTAATAATGCACGCTATGCCCACATCTGGAATACTGCATGCAGATGTTATCACCTTATCTCAGAAAAGAGATCTTGACACTGGAAAAAGTTCAAGAAGGGAAACAAAAATGATTAAGTGTATGAAACAGCTGCCATATGAGGAGAGATTAATAAGACTGGGATTTTTCAGCTAAAAAAGAGAAGACTAAGGGGGGATACGATAGAGGTCTATAAAATCATAGTTTGTGTGTAGAAAATAAATAAGGAAAATTTATTTATTTGCTCCATAAGACAAGAACTAGAGGTCACCAAATGAAATTAATAGGTAGCAGTTTTAAAACAAGCAAAAGGAAGTCTTTCTTCACATAATGCAAAGTCAACCTGTGGAGCTCCTTGTTTTGAAGGCCAGGTCTTCAACAAAATTCTAAATTAAACTAGATAAATTCATGGATGATAGGTCCATTCATGGCTATTAACCAGAATGGGCAGGAATGGTGTCCCTAGCCTCTGTTTGTCTGAAGCTGGGAATGGGCAACAGGAGATGGATAACTTGATGATCACCTATTCTGTTCATTCCCTCTGAGGCACCTGGCATTGGCCACTGTCAGAAGGATTCTGAGCTAGATGGACCTTTGATCTGACCCAGTATGGCTCTTCTTATGCTTCTTTCATCAGAGGCCCCACCAATTCAGTGAGCATGAAGCCACCTCCCTACACCTGGCCCCGAGGTCCAATGTGGGTGTCAGTAGAGCACAATGTATCTGCAGGTATCTGCTTCATATCTCCCTGCAGGAGAGATTGAATTCCGGTCCTACCCAGCCTCCCTTCCTGTTCGCCTGTTGAGCACTGACATATGGAACCCCCACCTCACTGTTAAAAAGGACAGCAGCATCCACAAGTGTGGAAATCCAACAAGTAGCTCCAGATCCCCCTGCTCTCTTCGCCCCGCTCTCTTTCTGTATCAAGGAACAAAAACAGCAGTGCTCAAAAGAGACTAATAATAAAACAGAAACTATGACAACCCCTCAACTTACACACACACTCTTCCCCCGCTACTGCCTGCCTCTTCCAAGCTCGACCCGGCCCCTCCTTGCTCATCTGTGCTCCTCTCAACTCCATTCTCCAGTTTTTTTTGTGCGGATACAAGTAAACTCAGGATCATGGATTGCAAATGGGAAGGGGAGTTGAGCCTGGAGGACGCGGATTGGATGAAGATCCACATTTTTGTAGCCATGTTCCCCTGGCACCCACTTACATATTTAAGCTGCCAGCTATCATCTCTCTTAGGTGGAGATCTGTGTCCCTCCCCTCAAATAGAAGTTTTAAGGCTACACAGTCCCCTGCCATATACTCATAGACTCATAGACTTTAAGGTCAGAAGGGACCATTATGTTCATCTAGTCTGACCCCCTGCACAGTGCAGGCCACAAAATCTCACCCACCCCTCCTAGAATAATCCTCTCACCTATATCTCAGATATTGAAGCCTTCAAATACTTTGAAGACCCCAAGATGCAGAGAATCCTATAAAGTCATACTGCTAATTTAAATCTGCAGAGCATCTGGCCTATGAAATTCAAGTTTGAGCTCCTTTCTGAGCAGTCTGATATCTAGGGTTTCTTTCTTCCCTCCCTCTTGCCTCACAAAGTCTCTGAGGGTATGTCTACACTACCCCGCTAGTTCGAACTAGCGGGGTAATGTAGGCATACCGCACTTGCAAATGAAGCCCGGGATTTGAATTTCCTGGGCTTCATTTGCATAAATCATGTTATCTCATCAAACCATCCCCTTCATAAACCCATCTAGTTTAATCTTGAAACCAGATAGATCTTTTGCCCCCACTACTTCCCTTGGAAGGCCGTTCCAGAACTTCACTCCTCTAATGGTTAGAAACCTTCGTCTAATCTCAAGTCTAAACTTCCTACTAGCCAGCTTATATCCATTTGTTCTTGTGTCCACATTGGTATTAAACTTAAATAATTCCTCTCCCTCCCTGGTATTTATCCCTCTAATATATTTAAAAAGTGCAATCATGTCCCCCCTCAGCCTTCTTTTGGTTAAAGTAAACAAGCCAAGCTCCTTGAGTCTCCTTTCATAAGACAGGTTTTCCATTCCTCGGATCATCCTAGTGGCCCTTCTTTGTACCTGTTCCAGTTTGAATTCATCCTTCTTAAACATGGGAGACCAGAACTGCACACAGTATTCCAAATGGGGTCTCACCAATGCCTTGTATAACGGCACTAACACCTCCTTGTCCCTACTGGAAATACCTCGCCTAATACATCCCAAGATCGTATTAGCCTTTTTCACGGCCATGTCACAATGGCGGCTCATAGTCATTCTATAATCAACCAGGACTCCGAGGTCCTTCTCCTCTTCCGTTACTTCCAACTGATGTGTCCCCAGCTTATAACTAAAATTCTTGTTATTAATCCCTAAATGCATAACCTTACACTTCTCACTATTAAATTTCATCCTATTGCTATTACTCCAATTTACAAGATCATCCAGATCTTCCTGTATGATATCCCGATCCTTTTCTGAATTGGCAATAGCTCCCAACTTTGTGTCATCCGCAAATTTTATTAGGACACTTCCACTTTTGGTGCCAAGATCAGCAATAAAAAGATTAAATAAAATTGGCCCCAAAACTGATCCCTGAGGAACTCCTCTAGTAACCTTCCTCCAACCTGACAGTTCACCTTTCAATATGACCTGCTGTAGTCTCCCCTTTAACCAGTTGCTTATCCACCTCTCAACTTTCATATTAATCCCTATCTTTTCCAATTTAACCAATAATTCCCCATGTGGTACTGTATCAAATGCCTTACTAAAGTCGAGGTAGATTAGATCCACTGCATTTCCTTTATCTAAAAAATCTGTTACTTTCTCAAAAAAGGAGATCAGGTTGGTTTAGCACGATCTACCTTTTGTAAAACCATGTTGTAATTTGTCCCAATTGCTATTAGCCTCAATGTCTCTAACTACTTTCTCCTTCAAAATGTTTTCCAGGATCTTACATACATATCATATACTATGATAATCTGTTTACAAACCTGTCTGCCTATGAGCCAGCCTCTGTACATTGCCTCTTCTCCAAAGGATGTGAACAGCGCATTGTCAGCAGTTACTGTTACCTCACAACTTTCTCAGTAAGTACATTTATTTTTAGGATAGAAAAGCATTACAGAACAAGCATAAAAATAATAAAAATTCCTACACACTTATTAAACATTCCAGAAATCAACCTTCTTCCACAACGGGAGCCTTACAACACTTTAGCAAGGATCACGTCTTTCTTTGGACAGAAGAATCCTGTCCATTTGCTGAGTCAAAAGGAAGCTCCCCAACACAGTATAAGCTCTACCAAAATCATTTTTGTTTTGTAGTATCTAGAAAACCCAAGCTATGGACTAGTACTTCTAAGGAGCTGTTTACAATCGCAGGAACTGTTAGCAGTCACCGCCATCTCTGTTTTCACTTCCTGAGCAGCTGTACTAACCCTCACTCAATAGAATTGCAAACAACCTCAGGCCTACAATGATACATAAAACAATCATAAACTTAATACACTATGGTCCCAAATAATACTGAATCTGGTTGCAATATAGATCACACTGGGATCTTGCTTCAAAAGTCCATTGAAGTCTCCAATGACTTTGTGACGAGGCGGCCCCCGCTCGTCCCTGGGGCGCCGCCGAACAGGCCTTGCTAGGGGTAAAGGGGGGGCCCTGCCGAGGCTGCGCGGCGTGCACGCGAGCCGCGCCGGGACAGGGACAGCTGACCGCCCCCCCCCCCGCAGGGGGAGCCCCGGGCCCGCCCGGGCTGCGCCGTGAGTGACAGGGGAGCCGGCCAATGGGGAAACCGGACGGGCGGTAAGGGGAACGCCCGCCCGGTGACGTAAGGGGACGCGTGCGCCAGGCGGGAGATTTAAAAATGGACTCCCTTCCGCTCAAGAGGGAGGGGAGAGAGGAGTTGGGCGGCTGCCACGCGCAGGCCGGTTGCCAAAGGGGTGGAGGTCTGGAGAAACCACCCCCCTTTTCTTGAGCCCAGACCCGACAGTTCCCTAGGCGGGGGAGCTAGCCCAGCGCCAAGTGCGGGCGTACG